AAAAGGATATTTTGTGATTATGTGTATTGTACTAACGCAATTGAAAATATGCTGAAATGTTTGAAAAAAGTGCACTTTTGATGATCTGTTGTGATATAAGTACTAAGAGTTTTGAAAATGTACCAATTGCTTGTGAAAACTGCGCCAAACCAATTAAAAAAAACTGTAACAGATATCCCGCACCTTGAGAACGAAGCAAGCGCGGGGGGTTGTATGAGGTCAGCAGATCACTAAGGTATTCTGGTGCAAGGCCATTCAGTGCTTTATAGGTTAATAGCAATATTTTATAGTCAATCCAAGACTTAACTGGTAACCAATGAAGGGAGGACAAGACTGGTGTAATGCGATCAAATTTTTTAGTGTTTGTGAGAACTCTGGCTACTGCATTCTGTACCAGCTGAAGTTTATGTAAGGATCTAGACAGGCAACCAGACAGGAGGGCATTACAGTAGTCCAGTCTGGAAGTTACAAAGGCATGTATTAATTTTTCTGCATCACGAAGTGAGAGCATCTTACGAAGCTTGGCTATGTTCCGTAGGTGATAAAACGCAGTTCTAGTAATACTTCTTATGTGAGCATCAAAACATAGATCTGAATCAACTAGCAGCCTCCAGGCCTGCGGTCATGCTGCAAAGCATTGTGGGTAAGCACAACAGCTTTTCTCTGCCATCACTTCAATACTAACAATGGCTGCAGGACACCTCAGTTAAAGTCATTCATCATCTAGTGATTAAATATGCAGCGAGGATGTGCATTTGGGAGACCCACCACTAGGCCCTTATCTGAATCAGAATCAGAGTCCTTTGATTCTTCATGTACTGAGCTTTAGTGCTGCCTAATCATACAAGTTCTCCCTGTCGTACAGAGAACACAGTTGTAATTCGAGGTTGTGTTTGAGCCCAGAAATGGCAGCCGCTCACGGCAGTGCTATTTGGGGAATGCTCTGTGAATGACTACCAGCCTTACTCACGAGTCGCCTCCGAGCAGAGACCCATCTGGAAGGAGTTTCAGCATATTTATCATCTCACTTAAAGCGTCCATAAAGCAGGTACATGCAGCACTGATTCCTGATGAACTTGGGGAGGGGGTGGCGGGGGCTGGTGCAGAGAGGCCCCCTTCAGGAAAGATGGCTGGGCTCTGGAAGTGATGTGTGTCAAACATTTAATCTGGGAATTTTGTTGAATATTTTGTCGCTGTTGGAGTTACATGCCAAACGTTTACCTCCTTAACACTCTCCTGTGAAATGTGTACCTCCTTAACACTCCTGGCTGAAGGTGGGCCTGCTTTTCCGATCGAGCCAGAGCCATTGGCTAATGAGCGACTCGCACTTTCATTTTTATATAATGTTTTTTTTCTGAATAATCACAAAAAACAACAACGTTATTCCATCGTCAAGTGTGCGTTTTATAATGCCAAGAGCATCATAAACTGCAAACTAACCAAATAAATCACCGTTGAGTCATTTGTTTAAAAAGACTTTTAAATCGTTTATTGTGTTGGGCAAAAAGAAACAAAAATGCATTCCAGTGCCATGGCACTGGACGGTTCCGTGTGTGGAAGACGGTGCCAGCTTCCTCGGTGTCTCTGGTCCAGGCGGGAGGCTTGTCGGTAAGGATGTGGAGAGCTCATTACCATGGTGACCAGTGCACCGCGTGCTGAGGTGCCTACCGGATGGCCCAGGTGTGGGCTCTGTCAGCGCGTTCCCTGCTCTAACGGGTCACACTGCCACCGGCCCCGACCACCTGCTGGGATCTTCCGGAACGTTCCATCAGAAGCCTGCCGAGCATGTCAGCAGCCAGCAGGGCTGGGATTTTCCCAGCCATGTGCCATAATGGCCAGCTTGTTCGGCAGGATATTAACGAGTTTAAATGGTAACACGGAACTCGTTTCGTAATATGATTGCAGCGACCCCCCGTGGCAGCCATGTTGCATCTCCCATGAACCCCTGGCCTGGCTTGTTATCGGTGTCATGAAGCCCACCCCACCCCCACACCCGAAATCCAGCTTGGGGTCTGTGCTGACCCACCCCTTCACAATGAGCCATTTTCAAAGTGAATAGAGCAGCACAGACTCCTCTCCAGGTTACCAGCAGTCCCATTGTTCAGTTATACAGCATTTACACCACAATGTTACTGGCATCAAATTAATTATCCTATTTGCAAATATGGAAGGTCCATGATTCTGAGCCACAGATCATCAGCGTGTGTTTCGATCATATTTATCCATTCGCGTGGATTCTTAGAATTAGGGCAAACCTACAGCTGTCTTTAGTCATCAGCATGATCCTATAGCCATCTATAGAATAGAATAGAATAGAACAGAATAGAATAGAATAGAATAGAATAGAACAGAACAGAATAGAATAGAATAGAATAGAATAGCCACTTTTATTGTCATTCAGAAATAGTGCACATCAGAATGAAATTTCAGTGCATTTTTTGCTCACCATTGACCTGGCAGAGTGTGTAAAAAAAAAAAAAAAGATTATAAATAGAAATAGAGTATAAGTGGAACTAACATACAGATATATTAACCGCAGTATAGCAGCAAAAAACCAGTGTACATCACCGTATCGGTTATAGTGCAAGACATACAGTATAGTGCATAAAGTTCTTGAAAAAGTGACATGTGCATGGATGGGGGGGTTGGGGAGGGGCTGTCATGAGTTAAAAGTTCAGGAGCCTAATGGCTTGAGGAATAAAACTACCTTTAGCATAGAGCTACACCCATCTGTAGCCTTTAGCATATAGCTATGGCTGTCTTTAGCCATTAGCCAGACCTACACCCATCTTTAAGCATTAGCATTGAGCTACAGTTGTCTTTAGCCATTAGTGTGTCCCCACAGCCATCTTTAGCTATTGGCACATCTTCCATTCTGTGGCCCTGCTGAAATAATAAAAAGAAAATGAAGTAAAGCAGATTGGATCCATTATTTTCCCTGTTTACTGTCCTGCTCCCTGTCTTCCTAATACTCAGGGAGGGGGGTTATAATTATTGAGAGTTTCCAGAGCTTAATTAAAAGCACACACTCTGCTGCTTCCCTGCTGTCACTGGTTTCTTTGAGTAAAACCCAAATACTGAGACCTCAGGATGGTTCGGTTTTCCTCTGCTGATGATCATTTTTACATCAGTCAGCCTGGTGACAGTAGGTGAGATCTGGCAGAATCTCTGTCTGTAGGCTGTCAGTGGTGAGTCGGGGTTGGGCCACACCACTCAGGTCACTGGGCACATCCAGTACGTCACTGGGCCTGGCCTGCAACACTCAGGTCACTGGGCACATCCAGTACGTCACTGGGCCTGGCCTGCAACGCTCAGGTCACTGGGGCCAACCCGCACCTTGCAGGTCACTGAGCACATCCAGTACGTCATTGGGCCTGGCCTGCAACACTCAGGTCACTGAGCACATCTAGTACGTCATTGGGCCTGGCCCGCACTACTCGGATCACTGGGCACATCCAGTATGTCACTGGTGACTGGGCCTGGCCCGCACCACTCAGGTCACTGGGCACATCCAGTATGTCACTGGTCACTGGGCCTGGCCCGCACCACTCAGGTCACTGGGCACATCCAGTATGTCACTGGTCACTGGGCCTGGCCTGCACCACTCAGGTCACCAGGCCCGGCTCGCACCTCGCAGGTCATCAGAGCCAACCCACTCATCCCGGGTTTTGGTTTCTCTCTGTATTCAGCGGGCGGGGGAGGGAAGTGTCTGGTCGCGCAGCGACGGGGGAGATGAGCGCGGTGCTACAGGGCTAAAAGCCATGGAAGAATAGAAGAATGCCCCCCCTCGCATGGCACGTAACCCGAGCCAGGCAGAAGGGATCGAGGGGACAGCCAGGTGACAGGGAGACGAAGCCCTCAGTGTCACACTGCAGCCACAAAGGCCAAATGGAGTCCCCGGTGCCCACCCTCCCAGCCTCTGATGGGAGGATAAAGGTGGCTGCGATGGGGGCTGAGATGGTGGGGGTGGGGGGCTGTATTCATGTCACTTTCCCATGTCTCTTTGTATGCAGTCTGATTAGGGGGCGACGCTGGGGTCCCTTCCCGACTTCCTCGCCTGAGCATTGACATCACGCCCCCGTCGCTTGAGCTCTGATGTTTTCTCACACTTCTAAATCAATATTTCTGTAATGTTGTTGTCTTATAATACCACATTGACTCTGGTGTGGGGCAGAGACCGGTTATGACGGGTATGTCCGTTACAGTTGGTTATGACCAGCACACCCCCATGCTGCGCTGCACTCCACGGCCCCCTGAGGGTGCCTGGTACACACGGGCCCCTGGGGATCACGGGGGTCGCGGAGGGGCCCTGCAGCACACTGTCATACACAGACACTGTCGCTGCAGGAATATTTCTGTGTTTTTCATTCCTCTCCTCTGTGAAGCGGCCATTTGTGCTTTTTCCATAGGCTGTCGCCGTCTGCCAGCACGATACATCCCCAGCGCTGCTGCCAATTCGCATGCACTCCACTCTGCCCCCATTCCCCGCCCCTTGGGCTGGGGGGGCACAAACAAAACAGCGGCCCTCCTGGGTGATGGATGGTACCCCAGATGCAGGCAGGCCTGTGTCCCACCGACAGATTATTCCAGTACATCTGTGTTTAACAGATCTCGGCTTTGTTTCGCCTGGCAAATTCTGGGATAACTGGATAATTACACATTCTGCCTGAATGATGCCATTACTGCTTTAATGCTTTTCATATCTGAAAGTGACAAATTATACGCCTTCCTTAATTTATAAGCCGTCTTTCCGAAGGGCTTCCAGTGTAAATATTTCTGGATCATTTGTGCCGTGGGCAGTGCGGCTTAGGGGCCGTGCTGAGCGACGCTGGGGGCACAAACTGGGGGACACGGTCTCCTTCCAAGGCACAAAGCGGTAGTGTGTCACGCCAAGGAAGGGTGCACTAGAGCGCCCCCCAGTGTGGAAAGGGCAGGTCTGCAGGGGTTACACACAACCCTCGCTGATCCGCTTGTGTGTGTGTGCTTGTGCCTCTTTACAGTTTGAGGGTTGCAGCAAGGCCTTCTCGCGCTTGGAGAACCTGAAGATCCACCTGCGAAGCCACACGGGCGAGAAGCCGTACCTCTGCCAGCACCCCGGCTGTCATAAGGCCTTTAGCAACTCCAGCGACCGTGCTAAGCACCAGCGCACCCACCTGGACACGGTAAGCTAGCTCACCTATGCTCTACACAGCCGGTCTGTCGTGGGCCGCGGGAGAGCGAGGCCCTTCTCCTGAGAGCAGAGCATGTTACTGAGGGATTTGTGCTGGCCCTCTGAACACAGTCACTGCTGGGTTTGGGCTGGGATGTGCTTGTTTGACAAGCGTTTCTCAGGTAGACAGGAGTGTGTTCTCATGGGCAGATCCTCCATGGAGATCCTGTAAGAGACCAGGAGAAGCTGCAATCTGATTGGCTGAGCTCAGATTAACTGAGCACTGATTGGATGAGTGCTGGTGACTTTGTTATTGACTGCCATGGTGCTCAGAGGGGCTGCTCCATGTTTGGCAGTGAAGGATGGTACCCCCCCCCCAGTGCCCTGGTGGTCCTCTCGCCTTCTCCCTCCCTCTGAGTGTTTAAGCACTGTACCGTGCTGAGGTATGTTTGGCCCACGTTAGCAAATCACACAAACGGCAGGAGTGGCGAGCTCACATTTTCCGAGGCTGCCGGCCCTGCAGTGACAGCGATTTGCCCGCAAGCTCAGCGGCCACTAATGCTTTAGCCATTAGCCCCCGGCCCCACAGTGACAGTGCCCTGCCCGCACAGCGCTCGGCCCGCTAGCTCCGCCACTGCTGTTGCTTTAGCCGTTAGCCGCCAGTCCCACAGTGACAGCACCATGCCCGCAGAGCACTCGGCCCGCTAGCTCCGCGGGCGCTCCTGCTTTAGCAGTTAGCTACCGACCCCGCAGTGACAGCACCATGCCCGCAGAGCGCTCGGCCCGCTAGCTCCGCGGGTGCTCCTGCTTTAGCCATTAGCTGCTGGCCCCACAGTGACAGCACCATGCCCGCAGATTGCTCGGCCCGCTAGCTCTGCGGGCGCTCCTGTTTTAGCCATTAGCTTCTGGCCCCACAGTGACAGTGCCCTGCCCACAGAGTGCTCAGCCCACTAAATCAGCGGCTGCTCCTTCAAACCAGCCCGAGTCTTTAAGCATGGCACTCTTTTCCTGGATGTCATGTGACTTCTTAACAGCTTCTTTCAATGTATGAACGAATGTGTTTTTCTGCAAGTGTAACCCCTGTCTCTCTCTCCTTCTACCTCCCTGCTCTGAATGTTCAGCTGACAGGTACAGTATGGCCTTTGTGTTACTCCCTGCTCTGTACGTGATGCGGTACCTGCTATGTCCTCTTCACACACAGCATACATCACTGTCTAATTCTGTCGTATTAGTTGTCACCGTCTGTGTGCCTTTAAATTTTGGACATTGGTGTTTTTTAAATGCCGTGAAAACAGAAAGCGGAAGGTGCCGGAATGTGTAGCAGGGTCTTCCTGGCTCATTCACAGCCAAGCCGTGACGAAATCCATGGTCACACATGTTTTCACTCCCCACCGCCCCCACCCTTCCATGCGGTCTCTTCTCAGCATCCAGAAAGATCACGGTCAGATCTCCAAAGAGATTACAAAGAAAAATGATCAATCATTTGCCTGTCAGCGAAATGTTGATTGCAGTTTTTATTTCAGCACACATTCAGACACACCGCAAGGTTTCACTGTTCCGAGTATAATTTGAGGGAACACTCTTATTAAGACTTCTGATTGATCGCTTGGCAGTTACTAACATCAGCCTTCACAGCCCTGAAATGTCAGATCTTTGAAAAGAGAGTAAGGATGTTTAGCATCACACTGATGAAAGCTGGCCTGGTAAGATCGCACACTGTCACAGCGCTGGAGGGAGATGTGTACCGCTAGGGTGGCACACACATGCCCCCTAGTGGCGCCGGATCTTTCTGACACTCCTTTCTCTGCCCCCACCCTGCTCACAGAAGCCCTATGCCTGCCAGATCCCAGGCTGCTCCAAGCGCTACACGGACCCCAGCTCTCTACGGAAGCATGTGAAGGCTCACTCTGCCAAGGAGCAGCTGGTGCGTAAGAAGGTAAGAGGCAGGCCACTCACAAGGTGGCGCTGTGGAGTTACACCCCCCTCTCCCCACTCTCCGTCTGCGTCTGTAGCCGGTCTGCACCGGGCCTGCACTGGGTCTGTACCCAGTCTGTTCCCAACCTGCTCCAGGTCTGTACCGAGCCTGTACCAGGCCTGTAGTACCAAGTAGGTCCTGAAAGGCCTCCAGAAAATCATGAGCAAGTCAGTATTTAAAAAAATCATCATGTCTGGTAAAGAACAGGCGCATTCCGGCATTTTCCATGGCTGTTTGGATGATGAAATCGCAAGAGCATGGCTTGCTTCAGCCCCCACGTTTGCAAAGAGCTGCAGCCAAGCCTGTGTGCCATTTGTCAGGCATTTTCGAAGTAAACATGCTGCTTTAAACATGGTCAGTGCTGGTTTGTGTGGCCGCTTTAATGCACACGGCGGTAAGCATGTAAGAAGTCAGCCTGATTCTGAGAGGTACGATTATGAAAGTGGAGCGTGTTGCTCGTTCTCCATTCAGCCGTACCAAACATCAAAGATAGAGTCCCGTGGCAGTGCAGGCCTCGTGGCCCCACTGGGGCCGTCACCACGCTTGCATGCCCTGCACCGTAAAGTGAAACACATGTGCGTGTTAATAAGCCGAACTGCAGGACATCCCGGGGACCATGTGACTCACAAACGCCAAACAAGCCTCAGGGTGCCCTGAGCCAGACGCCGTGCAGGAGGCTGCATCGCGTACCAGTCTAATTACGCTGGATGGATGGCAGCGACGTGTTTATGATCAGCAGTGTGAAAGCTCACACAGCATCGAAGAAGCTGAGGGTGGCGTCTTATCAAACATGCCACCACTTAGCATGCTAACATCCACAGGATCAGGGTGACGGACCCTGTTTGGTGACATGACACACGTGTCAGTGTGCTGGCCAGGGTATGGAGTGATACAGTCACCTGCGTGTCAGTGTGGTAGCCTGGGTAGGGAGTGATACAGTCACATGTCATCTATGTGCTGGTCCGTTGGGGAAAACATGTCAGGAATGTGACGGGAAGCAGCTGTGCTGGGAGTGACGTGTCGTTGGCCTGCTGCCTGTTTACACGCCTCTCCGCTCACTTACCCGCGCTGGTCGGTGCCGGGTCGTGGCTCGCTGTTCCTGCCCCACCCCTGGAACCCCTAGAGCGGACCCTGGCCTCACAGAAAGCCATTTCCTCTGACAAAGCCGGTCAGTCGGTGAGTTTTTTTTCATTAAAGCTTTTGTTTGGTTGCCGTCCAGTTTACGAAAACGTCCTTTTTCCTGCTGTTTCTGAGAAGGCTGCGGGTTCTCTGTGTTAAAGCAGAGCGGGCCCCCCCCCCAGTCTCTCAGAGACTCGGTGTCAGGCGCACTTAGGTGAGCTCTGAGCAGCATGTTGCGGCAGCCGGGGGGCTGGGGGGGGATTGGCGGGCCACCTTTCATAAGAACATAAGAACATAAGAAATTTACAAACGAGAGGAAGCCATTCGGCCCATCAAGCTAGTTTGGGGAGAACTTAGCTAATAGCTCAGAGTTGTTAAAATCTTATCTAGCTCTGATTTAAAGGAACCCATGGTTTTAGCTTCCACTACAATAGCAGGAAGACTATTCCATACTCTAACTACACGCTGTGTAAAGAAGTGCTTCCTCAAATTTGTTTTAAAATGTTCTCCCGCTAATTTCCACTTATGGCCACGAGTTCTAGTATTTAGACTAATATTGAAATAGTCATTTGGCTGAACAGCATCCAGACCCGTTAGAATCTTATAGACCTGAATCATATCCCCCCTTAGTCTCCTTTGCTCAAGGCTGAACAGATTCAGTTTCCTCCATATCCCGCATCTAGTCCTTAGATAATCAGGTAAACGATGCTCCAGAGGGCGGTGGTACAGATTGGGCTTCCTGTGCCATGCTCATGTTGTCCTCATAAGTTCTCCTGCCATGGGGGGTATCGCTCCAGCTGGATGCCTAGAAATGAACAAGCTGTTATGCAGACTAACCATGACAACTGGAGTGACGGAATTGCTCGTCTTTGAAAGGTGAAAACTAGCCCAGAGCACAGGAACCGGGTGGCATCAGTGAAAACGGCATCGCTGTTGAGTCATGTAGCTAATTGTGAGATCGTCAGCCCGCCCCCCTGATGGCCACTTCCCTCCGCAGCTGCGACCATGCCCTCACATGGAGTCGGAGGTCCTCGGCGAGTGCCTGGCCATGCATCACCTGCACAGCTCCTGCTCCCCGCAGCACACCCTCAACGGGAAGGCGACCCGCTCTCCGGGCCTGGGCCAGGACGTATTCACAGGTACCACCACTGCCCCCCCCCCCCCACCTTCCATGCCTCTCAGCTGTCACTCCTCACTCTGGGTCGATTTCCTGTCCAGCAAACAATGGACTCGCTCACCACAGATATTTGTTTCCTGCTGGTCTTAATCGAATTGATTGCCCGAGCGTGGTTTCCCTTGAAAACAGAGACAACAGGGATTACGGCATGTTCTGGGTGGAGGGGGTGGGATGCCGGCGGTGCGTTTGGCACGTGTTTGCCTCAGAGGGCTGGACGGCGCCCCATGCTGGCGGGCCTGCGCCCGCGCTGCTACTCGGCGTTGCGACATTCTGGCACACCCCCACATGAGGTATTTTGCATTTGATGAAGGTCCTCAGATGCTGGCACACCCCCCCCCCTGCATGCCACACGAAACAAAGGAGGCCTTCAGATAGATGGCTGAGGGGGGCACCCTCGATGCCAGGCCACGCAGGCTGTATACCAGCAGGCAGCACGTCTTTGGGCTACGGGGGGAGCCTTGCATTACACAGATGTGGGATTCGAACCCCAAACCCGGGAGGTTTATGGCCACAGTGCCGGCTGCCGAGCCACCCTTAACTAATAAGCTGAGTCTTTCAAGTTAAATGATCATCTACCAACATCAGTTTTGTTTATTTTTTCATATTAATCATTAATCACAATCAGCTGTAGCTGGATCAGAAACGTATTAGTTTATCGCTTAAGTTCTGTGTGACCATGGGAAGGACCGCATTAGCACTCGAAGGCTCACACACACACACGCATGTATACACACGCACACACACACACACACACACACACAGCACACCAAATTCCTGTCATTGAGATGGTGTTCCAGTGAGTTCCCTTTTACCGTCATTGACAATCCCCAACCCCAAACCAAGACTCAGACTCAGATGAACGCTGCTTCCAAGCACCATGCTGTGCCCCGTTTTGTCTTTGCTGACCTGCTGTCTGTTTTCTTCAGGCTTTGTCTCGTGAATTCACAAGATGGCAGAATTTGTCCTCAGATGGTCAAACCTGGCCACACGGGACACCCTGTCACTCCCACTGAAGCTTGCTCTCCCCTCTGTTCTGTTTTTCAGAGCTACAAGATGACAATATCCATGGCATCTTTTGCCCGCACTTGGCGTTTAGCCTGGGGAGGAGGGTGGGGGGTCAGATCTTATTTACTTCAGTGCTGTTTGAGCAGAGACAGGCAGTGGTGGCACAATGGCCTTTCACAGTTTCATTTATTGTTGTCAGTGCCTCTCTCTGACTCTCCCCGTCTGTACCTCTCTCTGTCTCTCTGTGTCAGTGCCTCTCTCTTCCTCTCTGTGTCAGTGCCTTTCTCTTCCTCTCTGTGTCAGTGCCTCTCTCTGCCTCTCTGTGTCAGTGCCTCTCTCTGCCTCTCTGTGTCAGTGCCTCTCTCTGCCTCTCTGTGTCAGTGCCTTTCTCTTCCTCTCTGTGTCAGTGCCTCTCTCTGCCTCTCTGCGTCAGTGCCTCTCTCTGCTTCTCCGTGTCAGTGTCTCTCTCTGTGTCAGTACCTCTCTCTGCCTCTCTGTGTCAGTGCCTCTCTCTGCCTCTCCCTGTCAGTACCTCTCTCTGCCTCTCCCTGTCTGAGCCCCTCTCTTCCTCTCCCTCTCTGTGCCCCTCTCTGCCTCTCTGTGTCGGTGCCTTTCTCTGCCTTTCCCTGTTTGTGTACTCTCTGTCAATGTCTCTCTGTCTCTCCTTATCAGTGCCTCTCTCTCCCTCTCTCTATCAGTGTCTATCTGCCTCTGATTGACACTTACCTGTCTGACCTGTCGCTGTCTCTCTGCTTCTCTCTGTTAGTGTCTCTCTGCCTTTCTCTATCTATGTCTCTCTGCCTCTCTGTCAGTGTCTTCCCGGCTTTTTCTCCCAATCCTTCTCTATGCCTCTCTCTGACAATGTCTTTCTGCCTTTTTCTCTCAATTCCTCTCTCTGCCTCTCCCAATCAGTGTCTCTCTGCCTCTCCCAGGCAGTGTCTCTCTGCCTCTCCCTGTCAATGCCTCTCTCTGCCTCTCCCAGTCAGTGTCTCTCTGACTCTCCCTGTCAGTGCCTCTCTCTGTCTTTCCCAGTCAGTGTCTCACTGCTTCTCTGTGTCAGTGCCTCTCCCTGCCTCCCAGTCAGTGTCTCTTTCTGTCAGTGTCTCTTTGCCTTTCCTTGTCAATGCCTCTCTCTCCCTCTCTCTGGCAGTGTCTCTGTCTTATCCTCTCTATGCCCCTGTCCCTCTCTCCCCTGCTCTTCTCCACTCTTCTGCCCCCCCTACCCCACCCTAGATTCAGCTTTACTCATCATTGCTCAACAGTGAACCCATATTGCTCCCAGCAGTTTGGTGGGACGTGGGCTGGATTGCAGGGCACCTACTCTGGGCACCAAGCTCTTTGCCTGGTGCCTCTCTGTCTCTCAAATGCTTAATCTTTTTTTTCTTGCTCTTGCCAGACCTTTTTTTCCACAAAGCGACCTATTAAATTGCAGCAATCCTCACTATTGTTTGTTCGAATGTTGCTGGTTTAGAAGCAGATGTTGAGGCTAAAGGGTAAAGCAGTTTAAAGGTTGTGATTGATGATTTCTGGGTGCTGAATGATTGTGAGTGTTTCGGGAACAGGCAGTTAGGCATGGATTACGCTGGCAAACAGCTGGGGGAGCCCCTACAGTGCTAATAGCCGATAGCATGTGGCTTCCCCAGGGGAATTAGAGTTTAAAAAATGACCAGATTCAGAGGAACACTTTTAAGCTCCCAGGGAAAAGCTGGAGTGCAGAATCAGAGATGTACTTTCTGGGAAAAAAACTGCTTGTAACAAGCCTATAATGAAGTTTGGTTTTCTGCATGTTTACTGTGACCTGGACAATGAGTGGTGTCACAAGGCCCTTGTTTCTGATCACTTTCTGGCCGCACTGGACCAGGTGGTCCTTGGTACCACTGGATGGCTCATAGGTGCCTTGTGACTCGTGGTTTTTTTATGGTTTTGGGTCAAATTAATGGTAACTATTAGAATACTAAAGTGTGAGGCAGTACAGAGTCACAGTCATCCCTAAGTCTGTGTGGACATACTGACTCAGCCAGTCAGCCAGCCAGACAGACGGACAGACAGCACAAGCTAACATCACTCTCTGACTGTTTCTCAACCGTGGGGACATATCTGTCCATTAAAGGATTGAGATTATTTCAGGGGCACAAATGTCCTCTCAAGATTCATGTGCAGAAATTAAACTAAAAAGCCATGAAGAAAAGACCCAAGAACTGTAGCGTTGGTCGCGCCTGCATTTAGAGCGGATCCCTGCTGGCAGCTTCTGGGGCCCTGATTCTTCATGCGGACCCATTCTGTCTGTCTTACAGCAATGTATGCCGGCCCCAGCGGCCCGCACACCGGGGCCACGCCAGCACCGCTCCCGTCCAATCACAGCTTGGCGTCCACGCAGCCTGGCCTGGAAGCCTGCGTCGGGGGCCCCCACAGCCACCTGCCCCCCCTGTCCGCCGTAGAGAACACCCGCGACGGGTGAGTGTCGCCTAGCAGGAGTGTGGTTCCACGGGCCGAGGAGGGAGGGGTGCGGAAGCCATGGACGGATGTAACAGGCAGCCGGGGACGGCCATGGCCTCCCCCAGCCTGTACGGGACCTGGGGGGCGGTCGGGGACGGCATGAACCCCAAGTATAATTGGACCCTGATCACCACCCCAGGTACAGGCTAGCTGTCATGACCGGGGCGAGGCTTCCTGTTTGTCCCCGGGTGTCACAGTGTAACATTGCGATCGTGTCAAGCCCCCCCATATGTGCTGCCCGGCCAGCACCATGGGGGAGTCTAGGCCACGCTCTCGCCCCCAAGACCCCTTCTGTGAATCATTTATTGGCGCTTCACTCTTCGACACACCCACCTACGAGGGAGGTATTTATCGGAGTCATACCTCCACGCCACGTCCCGGGGGTGGATGAGCCTTGTGAAGTCAGCTATCTCTGGCCCCACAGGGCCCCAGGGACGTGTCCGAGGTCGGGGGGTCCACGGGGGCCCCCACCCAGGCCCTCTGACTCATCCCCACTCAGATTTGTTGACAGAGGTGGGCGTATGGAGTGGTCGCATGCAGTCATCTGTTTTGAGTTCTTGTCTCCTTTTTTCCAGTGGGATGGGGGAGCAGTTAATGTTGTCACACTTACTATGCCCATGATAGCCGGGGCAGTGCTGTGACAAACCCATATCAGACCTGTGACAGTGACATGACAAGCCCATGACAGACCTGTGAGAGAGAGGGAGAGAGAAGCATTGACAAGAAAGGCAAAGAGACACTGACAGAAAGAGACACTGACTGGGAGGCAGAGAGAGGCACTGACATCAGGCCAGACCTGTATCAGACCCATGACGGTCCCGTGACAGCTCCGTGACAGACCCATGATGGTGCTGTGACAGTGCCTTGACGGTCCCGTGACAGTTCCGTGACAGACCCATGACCGTGCTGTGACAGTGCCTTGACAGACAGCTCTGAATGGTTTCGATCAACTGTTTTGTTAGGGCGCAGTGGTGAGAAGTCCTGAAATCATGTCCTGAATGTGGAGAAATGGTGGATGGGGTCTCCGTACCACCCAACATATCAAGTCTACCATACCTAGAAAGAGGGCTGCAGGTCACATAATCAGAAAGGCCAATGAAAATGGATTGGGAGGTGGCTTGCTTTCCCAACCAAACAGAGTGGGCCTGGAGTGAGAGAGGAAGGGGCGGGCCTGCATGGGAGGAATGGCATAACCAATCAGGTAAAGAATGAGTTAGAGCAGCTGAAATGACTTGCAGTGTCAGAACATGAGCCCAGTCCCTGTGTGATTCACTGGCCTCCTGTTCAAGCTGGCTGAAGTGAGTGGCCTCTTTTTATGAGCCTGATAAGAAAAAACATCTTGGTTTTCATGTATGCATTGAATGACTGGCTTTCCACAGAAGGGCTCGAATAAAAACAGGATACCTTTGCTCAGAAAAGAAGCACCACTCTTAACCTACCAATCACAGTTTGTCTCCCTGCCATTCATCACAAACATTTCAGCAAGGATTTTTTTGGTCAGCCCCAAGAAAGTCCAACTGGAAGAGGAAAACGGAATGTACTGTGATGACAACAGCTCTGCCAGCGAACCGCATCCCGTGTGTTTGTGGATTCCATTAGCATGATGTGCCAGACCAAAAAATGGACACAGGCACAGGCTGCTGCTTGATCGGACAGTACGAGGACACCCTGAGCCAGGACCTACACTAAACAGGGTACAAAACCTCGACTCTCATTCGCCCGGAGATCAAGCATTGGTTTAAATGTTTAAAGCCTGCGGTGCACCATCCCTGCCAAAGTCAATATCAGTTGAGCACTTGTTTTTCCCAAACGGTTTAGCACGACATTAAACATTTTGACAAAATTATCTGACTAAGTTGACTATGCACCAGCAGGATCTGACCTCATTGCTTAGTGTGTTTACCCTGGCTCAGACGAGCCATTTAGAGTCATTTTACTTATTAAATAGCAGAGTAATTTCTGAAGCTAATATTGAAATATGCCATTTAAACACCATTTGTGATGTACTGGCCTGACGTAGACGCTGGGACCGTCAGAGCCCCCTGTGGTCACCCTACTAATTTGCAGGCACAAATTGAAAATGTTTTACTGCCTCTTTGTTTGTGATGAAGAGGCGAGAATGAAGGAATCTCTTTGGGAGGAGGAACGAAAAACTCGAGCAGAGGTGAACCTGCTGTTTGCAGACCTTCTCAGCAGATTCTTAGGGTGTACCCACACTTGGCCCGGTTGCCCTGCACTGTGCCCGAGCATGACTGCCCCCCTCCCCACTCACCCGCTGGTCTGTGCTCACATTACACTTAGTGTTCCTGGCCTGAGTGCGCGCTCGTCATCAACGTACAACTTTTTGCATTGCAGAAAACATAGGAAGGAAAGCACTATCGCACAGAGGAATGGAGTTGATTAACGTCTTTATTTTGTGGCTTATTTAGAGTAATTTTGGGTGCGATGACACAGGGCCATCCTAGATATATCGAGTATGCAACGCAGTGATTTTCATTTAATCATGTGGCATTGACAGTCCCACATTTTACCAAATATCTGAGTTTTTGTGTGCTGCATCCAGTTTTTCCTGGATACTCTCGTCAGCCCAGATTTCTAGCAAACACTGCACCTTTGCCGTAGACCAAAGGAATGCCTTAGTGTTTGTTAAATATTTGTCTGTACCTGATCTGTACGGCCTACCCGATCCGCTTCTTCTGGGTCCAGTTCATGTATAGTGCACCTGTGTGCATGCATGTGCCAGTCTCATCACTGGCATCATGTCTGTGTTTCATGCTCGGGCACGATTTGTGATCACACTGGATGCATTCTGAATCCAAGTGAACCAAGCCCAGGCCCACCTCATCAACTGTGTTTGGGTACGGTACGGATCAGCTAGCATGAGGACACCCTTAGCCTTTGCCTAGTCCAGGCAGTGACTCTGCATCTCTGTAGCCATTAAACTCACCATGTGTAACATAACAGAGATCATCAGGCCAAACTAGAGAGGCTCCTGTTTCTGTGCCTCCCAAGCAGATCATTCTGGATACTGGGCTCATCCACGGTGACTTCAGGCAGTCATACAAAAGCGATCATGCATAATCAAATATAGGGCAACAAGGGACCATTTTTCATTAAAACTGTAATTATGGGAACTGATGCAGAAACATTTGTGCGACATCCAGGTTGATGTATTACCCTTATCTTATCATTTCACACAGGCTACACCAAATATCTGCTGGATGAAGTATCTACACCATACACCATTTTTATTTACTATAGCGTTCATACATTCTCTTTTCTCTTCATCTTTTGTGAAAAAAACCAAGAAAGTCTAATTGCATTTCTTTATGTGGAGCACGTGTCTGCTGAATAGCTGTGACATGTAATGGACTGCAGCTTTGACAGGAAGTGACACCTTTAGGTAAACATGCTGCATATTTTTAATGAGACTTTCTCTGGCTGAAGCTTCAGCTTGTGTCCTCTTCACGGAAACCAGAATACCTCCAAACTGGAGCTCATCACAGCTGTACAACCTGGGTATATGGAGAAAAGTACCTGAACCCCGAATGTCTTAGGCAGCAGCACTCCTTGTGGTCACTCCAGGAACCACAGACCTGTGACTTTTGACCTTTTTCCCTGGTGCTACCCGACCGTGAGCATGAAGTCGGAATCAGAAGAACAATCAGAGTGGTGAGACCTCTACTCATATGGAACTTACTCAGTAGAAGAACAATGTCTCCTCTGCAAGCATCCAGCACTTCCCATCTAGATCATTGTTCCTGATTTATTTCTTCATTTTCTCATGCCTGTTTTTTACCCCATTGTAAGCGATTATTCAAAGCTGATCCCACAACCATCTGGTTCTTAGCTCAGATCCATACTGCAGTATCCGTTCCCTTGATTAACAAGGTTGGAGGAACATTTCCATGCCCTTATCATCCATTACATGTATTATTCTGTTAAAAAGGGACAGATGTTATTTATGCTCAGCTAAGGATGTATTAGTCACTGTCAGAAGATTAAATTCAGGATTCATCAGTGATCAGCCAATGAGATGTGGCTTCACTGCTGCACTGAACGTCAGCCTTGTTTGATCCTCACTGGCATCCTGGAGGCCAGAGATAGCTTAGCAAAGTCGGAGAAGCTTTCCTGTGATAACCAGATCCAGAAGCCAACCCTGTAAAAACATTCCCAGTGCCTTTCTGTTGCAAGCCTTTCTGCAGATCCATCAGATGGCTGGATGTGGACGCGCTGCTGGGCCGTCCCCAGAGGACCACGGCGCACAGGTGAAGGAAGATGGATGGGGAGCCGAGGGCTTCTCCTCATGAATCTTCCTCCTGCGGCAGTTTGCCGTTGCTCATCTCTCACTTTTATCCTTTAGCCAGCTTGGCTTTGTGTAAATGTGTGATCCAGAGGAACAGAACAGTATTGCAGTCCCACATTTATATGGGCCCAAGCAGGCCCCATGTCCAAGGACCTCTCCACCTGCATCCACACACTGTTCCCTGTTACACACGGCTGTTGTACTGGTTCTGCTCAGGCGTACAGTTCATGCATCTCATACAGGCAGCTGTTAGCAATAGCTCTGTTTTAGTGTGTCTCTGTGGGCAAGCTCATTAGCTGTTAGCATCAGCTCTGTTGCAGTGTGTCTCTGTGGTCATGCGCTGTAGCTGTTAGCTTTACCTGTTTAAGTGTGTCTCTGCTCACACTCAGTGTGTCTCTGTGCTCTGTAGCTGTTCGGATTATCTCTGTATTAGCGGTGTTGCCAACCTTGATCAGATGGCTGGCATGAAAGTTCCAAGACAAGTCTGTATACATCTACATGTATGGAAGACTTCTGTCACCTTGTAAATAGTCTGTAAGGTTTGCAAACTACCCCAAAACTTTTGATGTAGTTAATTTTATATTGTTTATAATGGAAAAACATTGATTTTCCGTAAGATTTCTCACGTGAGCGTGAAAGTCTGAAAGCGTGA